CCACTTTGGATACTTTTGTCCCGGTCATTCTTTGCCTTAGTTGCACTGGTATACTCTTTCATTTTGTTCTCTGTGCACATTGAGGACACTGTGCCATTTAAGTTTGGGGGTAATGGTGCTTTGCAGTGTTTGTTTTTAAATTCAAAATTTTGAGCATGACTTGTGTATTTGAGGGATTTTTTATGATTGGTCCATAACTAGTTATGATTTTGATCTTTTGAGGACTATATTGCTTAAAATTTAAAAATTGCTTGACTTGAGAGTCTAATACTCCTTGTATGCTTGTGGATGCCATTTAGGGGTAAATTTTTCGAAAGATTGATATCATGCTTGCATTTGTGGTCCACATCATCCTGATTTTTTGATTTTTTTGAGATTCACTCTAGGATTCTACACTAACACAGGAGCATACTAGCATTCATTTGTGGGGTACATGCTTTGTTAATTATTGAATTGGTTATATCCCAATTGGGCTAGCAGTGCATTGAAAACTTTTATTCTTGATAAAGGTGAATAACAACCCCTTTTCACTAAGTAGCCGGAATTCTAGCCTCATCAAGCACTGAACTTCTCGCGCTGAAAGGTGGAGGGCCCAAACTCTAGGTTAATAATTGAACTTGTTATAAAAAAATAAAAAACTAAAAAATAAAATAAAAGTTGCAAAAGCAATAAAAAGTGAGGACTTCTCCCAAAAGGTGAGAAGTGGGAAATGATTAGATAGAGGTTGTCTTGATTTGTAGCCTAGTTGATTTGAGCTTGTAAGTCCGTAGGGGTGTTTTAACGCCTAATGCCCTAAAGCAGTTTGGTTTGGGAGTCATTGACCTAACGCTCGACCTCATGAATCGCTAGAAAGCTTAATAGATTAACACATTGCACTTTGCTTCCATCTTTGATCCTAACAAAAAAAAAAAATCGAGTGAAAAGAAATAACTTCACCTAAAACAATAAAGTTTTAATAAAAGGTCTACTTTTTGTCTTGATGATCGGTACTAGATTTGTGTGCTAGTTTGAGGGTAAGGATGTGATCATTTCTTTAGTTGGCTAAGATAGCAATATATTTGATGCCGGTCCACTCAAAAAGAATTCTAGTGTTGTTTTGATTTGCATGATCATTTTTTTGATGTGTGGAGGACCATACTTGCTTGCTTGATGTTGAGATTTTGGGAGATTGCTTGGAAATGTTTGAAAAATTGCATACTTGAGGTAGTTTTCTCCCAATACTTATTTGCAATATTGGTGCCTTTTTTTTGTGAGAATAAGCTTAATGTTTGTAGGTATCATTTCTGGAAACCCTCAACGAGACTTCACTCGTCCACTAGGGATAACCTAGGGGTTTAAAAGGCTTGTTGCATGCGCTAAGTGTAATCGTGTTCCCTACGAAAGTGGCGTTATCCATTTATTGCTTTCTAGTTATAGTTGTATAGTTATTCATTTCATTCCTTTACTTTTTAGTTCATTGCTAGGGACTAGCAATATTTAAGTTTGGGGGTGTGATGAGTGCTGAAAAGTGCGCATTTAAACCCCTTAAGCTTAGGTATTCTAGAACTTTTATCTATCTTATTTTCTCACTTTAGATTGATTTCGTGTTATTTCCATTTTCAGGTACTTATCCCTAAAATAAGCTAACTCAGCCAAATAAGAGCAGAAATGAAGCAATTCTGGGATAAATCAAAGAAATGAGCAAAGTAGAGCAAAAGGAAGCAAAAGGTGGAATTTCAACAACTTCGATCGATCTCAAGAAAAGTTCGATCGATCCAACCTTCATTGATCTCAGCACTTCAAGATGGATCTGAGTTATATTTGTTCCAATTCAAAGATCTCAAAGTTCGATCGATCCAACTTCATTCTCTGATCGATCGAACAATCTTGTCCTTATCCAAATGATTGATCTTATCCAGTTGTACCACCCTACCAACCACTTTTGTCCTTTTTCCAAAAATATCTTCAAAATATCTCAGATTTATTTTTATCCAAAAAGGTGCCGCCATAGAGGATCGATCTAGCTTCAGTTCAATAGATCTCAACCATGTTCGATCGATCCAAGGTCAAGGTTTGATTGATCGAACTTCCTTCAGTGCGAAAAAGTTAAATTGTCAGCTTATAAAAAGTTGTCCTCTATCCAATCATTGGGAGAATATTAGAGTACGTGCCGGATCATTCTTGGGTGTCACCTAACCTACTAAAAAGGGGATTTGAGCAACTTTTGAGAGGGGATTCACACACAACCATAGGGAGAGATTTTTTAGAGAATTATTAGTGAGGAAGCAAAGGAGAGGAGGAGGCTAGAGACACCATTAGAGGCTCTTCATCAACCAAGGAGCAGATTTCTTCTATAGAGTTTGCCCTTGAGGGTTGGAAGACATCATCCATGAGTGGCTAGAGTTAGCCCTAAGCATGCTTTCTATATCTTAATTTATGTATTTTTTAAGGAGATTTGTATTGTGATACATGTTTTGACACTTCTATATATATAGATCTTGTTTATTCAATGATTTATGTGGCTTAATGCTTCCAATTAATCATTTCATTCTATCCATATGTCTATGTATGTTAGAATAGATGTTCATGTGCTTGTCTCTATTTCTTGTGTTGTTGATACATGTCTATGTGTATTAATGCTATAGATTTAGAGATTGTCAAAACATAGTGCTTAATGGAATGCTCTTGTGGTTTATTTGATGGTTCATACTCATTTCTTGATGGATTGTGCCTCTCCCTTAGTTTAATTAGTTTAATTTCATGTCATTAGCTTAGATGTAGTGTAATTGTAGTGTAGTTGTTAAATGGGAGGACAATCCATGCTTGTTGTTTATTATTCCATGCTTTTGAATGCAAGTAGCATATGTCTCTAACCTTGTGATGTGCTTGGATTGTGGCTTAATGAAAGGATTAATGGCTTAGTTTGATATATTGTGTTTTTCACTATGTTGCTTAGACAATATAAGCTTAATTGGTCATCCTTGCTAATTGAAACAACCAAACACACACACACAAATATTGCAACACATATCTTCCCATCATTAATCATTCATTAAAGGTGTAGAAAAGTATGCTTAGTGGTAATCTCTAAACCCCAAGATCTCTCCATCTCTCTTTTATTCTCTTTGTTGCATTATTGTTTACTTTAGTTTAATTTGCATCTAGTATAATCCAACCAACCAACCACTATTTTGATCACTCGACCTACTAACCCTAATCTTGAATCCTCAACTTTGTACGACCCACCAATCCCTTGGGACGATCCCTACTTGCCCTAGCTATATTTTTAGTGAAAGGTAGTAGTGGCAATTTCTAAATGTAAAACTTGGCCACATTCATCATAACTCTACACCACTATCTTTTGGTGGTAACACAAACCGTAGGGTTCGGGGTTGACGACCTAAGATTCCCACCATTGGATTGAATGACCTTATTTAGAAAGAGTTAATTTGGATCCTTACAACCTTACATGCAATGTTGATGGCATCAATGTTAAGTAATGTGAAAGAATTAATGTCAAGAACTGTAAATGTTTCACTTATTGCATTTTGAGAGCCATATTTTGTGGTAGTGGGGGAAGGAGAATGCAAGATCAAATCTCGAGAGCAACCACTTTCTAAATATAATGCCAAAGGTTAGGTTCATATCAAATCTGGCCCTCCTACCACTTAGAATATTTAAGAAGAGTAAAATCTTCAGCCTACCCATCGCTCTTTTATTTTATTTTTTGTTCTTCTCACAAAATATCTTTCTTGGGATTTTATAGTCAACAAATTAGGACTTTTATTATATCCACAAGAAGAACTTATGACAGCAAGAAAAAAAGAGGGGTTAACAAAAAAAATTTATAGATATTACACATTGTGTGTGCATGTAATTCAATATACTTATATATATATATATATATATATATATATATATATACTCACTTTTTGGTACAATTTGATTTTGAATCAAAATTTATAATTGGAAAAACTTTGTATATTCTATTACAAAATTAATATCTGTTTTATAGTCATTATTTTAGCCCTTGCATTTTAATATTATTGAAAGACCCTACAACTCTATAAAATGCATAGGAATATTAAAAGCCCCTCTCTATTCCTATCTTTTTTGGCACACTATTTTGTACAGCATCCTCTATTACTCTTAGTCTCAGCTAATATTTTAATTAGCACACACAATATTATTTTAATTAGCGCACACAATATCCATGGAGAAAAGGCCAATAAATGCACCAGCAGTTGGTGACAAAGTGAACAATAGTCTTAAAGAAAACCATATGTAGTCTAATAGACCACACAAATGGTCCTCCATATGTATATTGTAATGTCAATATAAACTGCACATAGTAAATTTAACCTCGAAGTTGGTGACTAGATCAACATATGCTGTGATCGAACTTTTTGTGTGATCATTGAATATTTATACATAGAATCAAAAACAGGTGAATTTTTTGTAGCAAATAGCAACAAGTCAATGCGACTTATGTGCTTATAAATATAGATCTCAGTACAACATAGGTAGGGGCTAGCCCATGCCTCATAACTTCATGTCTTGTTGTTAGTTCGAAGGTCAGAATCTAACATACCTTAGACAAAAATAAATCTACTTCATCAACGAATGTGACAGCTGGATGACGACAACAGGCAACTCTAAAAAGTGCTCTCATTAGCTTTTCACTCTCACTGATCTATAATCACCGATTAACATTTAATTACTTGAATATATTAGGCTTACTTGTGTAAAATTTAAGTTTTTTTCATATAATGAGCTACCAAGATGCAAGTACAACAGGCAAACTTTGTCTACATTTCCATATACAATATTAGACTTATATTTCTAGTACAAGAGGTGGACCATAATGAGAAGAAACATTCCCTAAGACATGAGAAAAAAATGAATGAATCGAAGAATAAAATGGTAATGCTTTTTATCTTTCATTTGTAGGGGCAACATATACTTACTGGGGACCAAACAGAAGAAGACCTCTTCCCGGAGAACGGCAACCTTTAAAAATGTCAGGACATAATAAAGGCTATATAACCATCTCAGTCACACTTTTTTTAGCATGTTCCAAACCAGCTAGAGAATGGACAGGCAAAAAAATATGATTAAAACAAAATATCCAAATACATAAACTTACTACGAGAATATGAAAATGGGAAAAGTCTACATCATCTTATGTTACCAATATCATCCCAGCGAACATTGGGATCCCGCTCCATTATCTCATTACAGACATGTTCAATATGATGAGGTTCTAAATTCCGTAATTCCTCAGGAATCTCGCCATCGGGATCACATAACATTTCCAAACTAAAACAAAAAATATTGAATGTATTAGAATAAGCCTGCATAACACTCACGGTTAATCATTATTATCCATAGAGAGAGATTCTTAAATGGTTAGAGCCACTTTCAAATACCAATTATTAGAGAAATCACAAAGCTTATGAGAAAAAAGAACTCTTGAGGGAAAAAAACAACGCATTTAAACTAAATTTCTAATACAATGAAAACAAGTTTATATAAACTAACCATCTTTTTGTTGAGTCATCTAATGTATTATAATCCTTCCCTCCAATACAAGAAGTCTTATTACCACGGATGCCACGGTGTTGGACCCCATTTGATCTTTAAACCATATCCTCTGTTCCTTGCAACCATTTCCTATAACGTGGAAGAGATATGCTAATCAACATTTCTAAGAATATAGAAATGTAATTTTCTTAAAAACTTCAAATAAAAGGTTGTTATAGTTAATAGGGTAAAACGCAAGAAACCCCCCTGGACTATGAGGAAATCTGTAACTAACCACCTGAACTTTCAAAAATGCAAGAAACCCCCTGAACTATGCAAAATTGTTGCAGATCACTCCATCCGTTCAACGTCCAGTTATATATGACCGTTGAAATTGGTTTCTTAAATTTAAATGACCATACTGCCCATAGAAGCATGAAAGGACAATAATACCCTTAATTTTAGAACACCGACCAAACAAGACTTTATCAAAATTTCTCTAAATCCACAACTCTGATTCTCTGAATCGTCCCTGTAACACGCGAAGGTCTTAAAGCGTTCTCAATTTCCTAATTTTGGGGATCATATAGTTTTACGGCAAGGATGAGTTCATTAAAATCTAGTAAGACAAGATCATCGATTCACCGCATGTCAAACTGTAACACAGAGGACGGAATGGTCCGGTGACTATACAGAGGACGGAATGGCGAGAAGCAAGAACTGCCACTGAACATGGACGTCATGATGCGGAAGTATTTCAAGCATCCCATAAATTTTCAAAATGATAAAAAAGGAGACAAAATATTCCATAACACATGCAATTGGTAAAAGCCCAAAAGGAACCCAGTACCATAAATTGGATTATTGGATCCGTCCGTGCGACCCTCTGCCTTGCCGTCGCCGCACCAGTTAGCCCCGTCGCTGGCGACCTGTTCCTCTCTCTCCGGGGTATCTTCTCAGTTCACGACCCGCCGATCTCTTAAACTATTGCCAGAAAAGTATGCATAAATTCCCGCCTCGGAGGTCCAGGTTACATCCAATTTCTTCACCGCCACCAAGGACAACGCCGACCTTATCTCGCCACCGACGCCGACAAGTCTCTGGTCTAGACTCTAGACACAATGCGTCCGCCTTTTCTGGTCTCTTCTCTGCCAAAGCTCACAGCGAACTCCGCAAATCCATGACTGATGGCGACTCATGTTCTCTCTTTAGGAATTCGCTTCCGCAGTTTCAGTAGCCACCGGCGAATGAGAATTCCAACTGAAGGTGGTTACGTTGAAATTTCACCACCTATCATCACCTTCACCCGATCTTCTCGCCAGATTCGCACGCAATCTCACCGCCGAACAGTCTTCACCAGCTATGCTCACACGCGATAACACGGTAAGAAAAAGCTGACTAATCAATACCCTACTCTCCCCAACGTGCGTTCATGCGCCATGTTTTTATGATTAATTTCTTCACAGAATTGTTCATGACGGTAGCTCTGTTCTTGGATTTGTCTCCGATTTTGCTTCTTTGGTCTGTTTTGGATTGATTTGATCTTAATTGGTGCATCGGATTGACTATATGCATGAATAAATAGGTTTGTTTTGTTGTTTAATCAACCTAAAACATTCATCTCTCCCATGCAAGCTCTCTGGCATCGGCAACCGAATCATAAGACCCCAAAATTATAGCCGCAAGAACAATAAAAATCTTGTAGTATAGGTGGTTGTTGGTGTGATGGAGTATATATTATCTCTTTGGTGTGCTGTCAATATCCCATTGGCTGTTGAGAATTTTTTTGCCACGTCAGCAAATTAATATGACAATGCTTCAAACGGTGTAGTTTCATAGTAAAGGCAAAAATGTCATTTACCTTTTTCCGGTGACCTGATGGGGTAATATGCAACAAAATCAAAGTCAAGGGGTTTTTTTGTAGTCCAGGGGGGTTAGTTGCAAAACCCCCATAGTTCAGGGGGGTTTCTTGCATTTTACCCTAGTTAATATAACAATGGGGGAAGGAGGGGCACTTTGTAATGCCTTTTTTTTTTTTTTTTTTTTTTTTTTTTTTTTTTTTTTTTTTTTGGGTGTGTTGTTAAATACTCAAACCCATCTTCCAGAAACATTAAAAAGCAAAAAAAATCACCTATCACTATCTAATTTGACTATTCTTGATTTGAGGTGAGGTGAAACATGTTCACAAAACTTTACAAACTTATTTCAAATCCAAATTATAAAACAAATCTAGTGAAGGTTCAGGACATCATTCTTTTGTAATATCAAGTTAGAAAACTGAAAGATTATTTAGGCATCTAACTATTTCGGCAAGCAAAATACTTTTCCCAAATATATATATATATATATATATATATATATATATATATTTCATTCATCTCAGTTCTTTTGATTAGTCATCATAATTAGCTTACAATGTTTCTAGACTCTAGGTAATCCCAATAAAAGAATAAAAGGAAGTATGTTTTGTGATATTTTGATACTTTGAAGTTTGGCTCAAAACCTGTCAGATCTATTATACGAGTTATAAATTGTTTCCATAAGTTGCAAAACGCATTTAAAAGTCAAGTCCCTACATGTTTTGATGACTTAAAGGAAAAGGGGTTTGGGGAAGAAGTTACTCCATTAGCATAGAATATGAGATTGCAATCACAGATTATTTTCAAATGAAATATAAATACATATAATATATCCCCTACCAATTTCAAATTCTTAATTACTTGATAATTGCGAAATCAAAAAATCTCCTAACATAATCTTCGTTCATAGAAAAAAAAATAAATAAATAAAAAACAATTATTTTTGATAACAAAACAGAGTGTAAAAGCCCTAATTTATTTTCCAGCTTTTTTTTGGTGAATTTTTTTTTAAAATTTTTTTTATTACCTCCACTGTGTTGCCGACCAGATATGGAAGCTACTTGTTGAGTTTTATTTTCTCTTGATTCTCCTTTATCTTTTCCTTGAAGGAATCCAACTCAAGATTTGATCTTTGCAACTCTTCCTTCAAACCACAGAGATTGTCAAATTTAAATAAACTTTGAAAAAATAGATGAAATCCACAGAATATGATTTACCTTGAGCACTTGAATCTCAGTATCTAGAAGTCGGGAAGCCTTATTAACATCATCTGTTGATATAGATTAGAACCAAGCTATTCCTCGCTGTCCTCAACCATGGCAGTCGTGAGAGCCAGATGTGAAGAACTCCTGTGTGTGAGAGGTCGTGAAGAGCGAAGAGAGAAAGATAGGGCTTCGACAAGAGAGAGAGCGGAGAAAGAAATCTAGGGCTTAGACGCGAGAGAGAGAGAGAGCAGAGTTGTGTAAAGGAACCTAGGGCTTGGAAGAGAGATAGAGAGAGAAGAGTTATGTAGAGGGTTCTGCGTGGGCAATGATATATATACCTAAGGATAAAAACTACGTCGTTTTTGAAGGTCACATTAGTCACAGTGCTCCTACCGTCCCTAAAGACTAATTTTTAATTATTTTTTGTATTAAAAAAATTCATTTATGTGGCGCTAAGTTTCCTGCTAGCACCACAAAAGGCAGGGAAAATTATTTGGGCCTTCGGAGACGGTAACTAAAGACCGTGCCCAAAAATAGTATCTTTAGGGACAGTAACATTACCGTCCCAGAACCCTATTTTGATAATTTTTTATTAAAAAAAATTATAATTTCACTTAAATAGCCTTTTGGCGACGGTAACTTTACCATCCCAAAAGTTATTTCGATAATTTTTTTATTAAAAAAATTATAATTTCACTAAAAATGGTGCTAAGTTTTGCCGCCGCCACCAGATTGGAGGAATCTTTTATTTTGGTCTTTTAGGGACCCTAAAAATAGGATCTTTAGGTACAGTTTTTTGTACTGTCCCTAAAGGTCTATCACTAATAACCCTTTTCTTCTACTGTAGGATTACAAACAATTGATTCAAGATGAAAATCAAGTGGGACATGAGTTGGATTCAATGATCTCTGACCATGCATGCACAAATAAAACAACAACTAGAAACAAACATGTAGCAAATAACAATCACTTCAGCTCCGCAACAAATCAATCAACAAACCTCCACAAATATTTATCCCATACTCCCATACTTTAAACAATATGCAAGGAAAGTAAATTGCTTACACGTGGGCTCACGATTTATCTAAGAATTTTTTAAATCATTCTCAACAGAAGAATCTTTCACATGCAATGAAGGAGGAATAAGATGTGAAACCGGATAGGTGTCAACTTTTGGTTGCACCGGTTCACTCTCTTCATTTTGAATACCAACTTGATTATCCATAATCCTTCTACTTCTCAAAGTGGTCATCGTATTCACATGCTCAATTGTGTCACCTTCCGAAGAGGAATTGGTCTCCACAACAAATTGTTGCTTAGGTAGTGGATTCAAAGGCATCTTCCCCTTTTCCCTAGCATTCAATGTACTAACTATTTGCCCAACTTGGGATTCTACCTTCGCAATGGATTGGGAATGAGAATGAAGTAATTAGGTGTTTGCCTCTAAAGTACCCAAAGTTGTCAACATTTTTTCCTCAAATGTGGACTCCTTGAGTTCCCTTGAGAATTTGAAGATTGATTTGGAAACTGAGTGTTTGAAAATTGGTTTCCATGTGGGGATTGGTATGATGATCTATAACCTTGGGAACCTTGGCTTTGCATTGGGGGTGGAACATACTTTCTTTGAAAACCACTTTGGGGAGGGTTTGAGCCTTCCCTTTTGCTTTTTGAAGAGAAGTTCAGATGTGTGATATACCTTGAATCTAGAGCCACGGGTGATCAAGTCCAAGCACAGATCCGAGGGATACCAAAATAATTAAGTATGTAAATGAACACATAATACAAAAGAATTAAGAAATAGATAATTAAATAAGCTGAAAGAATTTTAAATAATAATCCTTAAAAGTTATAAAATCCAATATTGCCAAAACCTTCAATATTATTACAACTCGAGAATCCATCAAATTGACCCCTAATAATATTCCAGCTGGAAAATAAATAACTGAACTAAAAAGGAAATCCAAAACTAAAACATAAATAAAAATCCTACGTAGTCGGAGGAATGAGTAACTGTCTCTGCACAGCACGATCAAGCTCTACGGCAGGAACTGTCGAACACCTAATAAAAATGATAGTTGGTTAGGCCCACGAACAAGTTCTATTCTAACTACAATCCAAAAAGAGACCTGATACATAGATACATCCTAGATAACTCAACAATAACTATCTAGTCCATAGGTATATATATCTACACTAAAGGACTCTCACTGAACTACTAGGCGGTCTCAACCTGACTAGTAGGCAACATGCAAAACGCACCTGAAGTGGGCATGAGTACCTCAACCTAACAGGGTACACCTCAAACCATCATAGTCAGCTATGTATCCCAATGCATATACGATCCCTAACCATTGATCCTAAGACTCAAGCTCATATCGTGGTAACATAAGTATATATCTAAAATCCATCCAAAACCAAAGTAATAACGTTCAACTGTTCGTTGCCCTAACACGACATATTAGTAGGATTTAACCTTATAGTTAATTCATTCCCTTTTTCCAGAGTAGGTAGGACTTGGTATTTTGAACTAATCCGTCCTTAGTATGCCACTGTCCCATACCGGTGCATACAGTCCAAAAAATACATATAATTGACAGAATATGAATAAATAATTCATCAATCATACTCCAAAATAAGCATAAATAAAGTCTAATATATAAATGACCATATTATGCATCCAATATAAGATTCAAAAATCATGTTCCAGTCATTTAAATTGCTAAAATAAGACTAAGCAATTAAATCCTTTATATCCGTTAACAATATGCAAAATTGTTTAAACTTTTATACTATTCAATCCATTAGTATATAACACAGTCTAACAAATTTTGGGATTTTGACATGTTCATTTAACTCATTTAAACCCCCCCACAATAATCCAGAATCACCTTTAAGCCCCCGAAGTTCCAAAAACCATCAAAATACACCCCTAGGTGTACTTTCGGTGAGAGAGCTGCCTCCCCTAAGGAGGGAGCCGGCTCTCCCACATGGAGAGCCAACTTTCTCTCTTAGGGAGCCGGCTCTCTCTCTCACAGAGAGTCGCAGGCTGAAGAATAAAGGGAGCCGGCTTCTAACCCTGCTTCCTATCATCTTCCTTACCTCCAACGATGGTAAAAACCCTCTATAATGTTTTGTTTAGGTTCCGAGAGGTCCATCTATGTCCCAAAACTATCCCAAAAACTTTTAAAACACAGTATGCATTATTAACAACAATTAAAATTCATACTACTAAACAACTGATACAATAATTCAGTCTCAATTAACAACATGTAACAATGGTTTAAACTCTGAATCACATGCATACTTAATCAATTTTAATGTTCGTTTAGTTCCCGGAGACTATCTAGGCATGCACAGAACACAAGTCTAAGGGAAAGAGCAAGAAATAGAACTTGATTCTGATTTCAATTTTGAATCCTTAACGTCGTCGTCCTAATTTTTTTTGCAATCCGAGACTGTTCTCAACTCATTTATTGCGCCTGGTTCAACCCACAAGCAAACTTCCAATACCCCTCGGTTTAGCCCTTATTCTTGGCCAAACCTTAACTCGTTCTCTCTGTTTTCTCTCAAACCTCACTGTTCGTGAATAGTGTTTATGTTTTAAACCCTAAGTAGACCTAATACGATATATATATATAGGCAAAATAGTTTTAACCTAATTCTGTTCATGTGAGGAGTCGGCACAGAAAACACAAAAATAAAATATAAAATACATATATGTATATAAGTCGGCAATTTTAATGAATATATATAAAACCCTAAAACTTTATATTACATATATAAAAATAATGAAACTAATTTAATTATTAACAATTACTAATAATTAAACTAACCCAATATACATATATACCCATATATACATGTATATCCATCCATGGGTAAAAACAGTACCCATTTACACTATCCAAATAGTCCATTGATCCTATCCAAGCCCAACTCCGTTTAAAATTAAAAATAATACATTTAATTTAACATTCAATTTTCACATAAGCTTATAATTCAATTTAAAACAAATAAATCAAGTTAAATAAATAATTATATTCCACATAATCAATTTAAACAATTATACAAATAAACAGTTAAACAAATAAATCAATTAGATAATTAACTAATTAACAAATAGCCAAGTAAACATATAAAGAATTTAAAATTGCAATAAAACCATAAAAGAAAATACTGAGACTATCCTTTTAAAATTAGGGGTATTACATTCTTCCCTTCTAACAAAAGGAATTCCGTACTCGGAATTTGCTCTGACCTTCTTCCAATATTTCATGTTACTGCGAGCGAATGACATCCTCCCGTTTCTAAGTAGACTCAGTCTCATTATGGTGACTCCACTAGACACGCACTAAAGGTATAACTTTACTTCAAAGAATCTGATCCCGACGGTCGACAATACAACACGGTGGCTCCAAATATGTTGCATCTAGCTGCAACTCAATCTCACCAACATCAATATGCTGATACCGATCCTCATCTCACAGAATTTTTCACAATATGGAAACATGAAACACATTGTAGACACGATCCAAATGGTCTGGAAAGGCCAACCGATAAGCTACAGTGCCAATTCGATCCGTAATCATGAATAAACCGACAAACTGTGATGACAATTTCCCTTTCTTCCGAAAGTGCATTACTCCTTTCATAGGAGACACTTTCAGTAGAACCTGATCCCCAACATGAAACTCCAATGCACGAGTACGGCGATCTGCATAACTCTTCTGCCTAGTCTGGGCAGTACGCATGTAATCCTTAATAAGAACAATCTTCTCAGAAGTATCCTTAATGAACTCAGGACCCAAAAATCTACTCTTGCCAACCTCCATCCAACAAATAGGAGATCGACATGGTCGGCCGTACAATGCCTTAAATGATACCATTCCAAAAGTCTTCTGGAAGCTATTATTATAAGAAAGCTTCACAAGTGGCAAATAATTCACCCAATGGCCCTTGAAATCAAGAACACAAGAACGAATCATATCTTCAATGATTTGATTAACCCTCTAGGTCTGTCCATCAGTCTGAGGATGATAAGCAGTGCTAAGATGCAACTCTACACTCAAAGCCTACTGAAAACTCTTCCAAAATCTTGACATAAACCTCAAATCCCTGTCCGATATAATAGATAACTGATCGGTTGGTCAATCATACATCAACCTTCGCAATAGCATGAATCATTGTAAAATAGGGCTATTGGTCGGGTAAGTCGAACCACTGGGACTGCGCTAGTCTAAGGCAACCTAAATGTCTAGAATCATTCTTAGAATGATAAGGGGTAATAAGGGTTTGTTT